ATCATGATTTTGAGGATCAAATGGAAGATTATCCTATAACATTGAGTGAAAGTACCAAAAAATAAAAATAATGAGGAAAAAAGACAAGATCTAATATATGAACAATACTAGTTCCAAAAAGAGAAAAAGATAAACTTATATAGAATTTGATGAACTTCACAGGAAAAGTCTTACACACTGCCAAACAAAAATGTAAGGTTACAGACGTACATCTATATTTCAGGTAAGTTTCTTAGCAAAAGCAATGAAAAGATGGGGAATAAAGATTGCTGTGATGCCTGTAACTATCTATTAATTCAGAAGTTTATCACATAAATCATTGTCTTTTGCAAGTGTGAAATGCATGCGTAGTATAAAGGAAAATGAATTCATCACTAAAGTCTCCTTTCTGGATATGCAAAGCCACACTGCAGAGAAACTTTAAACACAGTATTTGTACACCAGTGGCTTACATATTGCCTTTAATTTCCTAAAGAACATAACTGAAAGTTTTTAGAGATAAGTGATTAAAATTTGAGATGTTAATATTTACTGAAATTTAACTTTAAAAAAAGACTACCATTAGCCTCTTATGTGCAACACCAGAATACAGAAAATCCTGAAACATTTATGAATAATGAAAGAAAAGGATTGTGTGCCAGAAATAGTATACTCAACTAAAATTCATTCAAATGTGAAGGCAAAATAAAGCCATATTTTAGATATGCAAGGATTAAAAAAGCATACCATTCAAGCTAATGATTGTTGGAGGAGTTTTTCCTATCCAGTGAAAATGTAAAAAAGAACAAAGATCTCAAGACAGGAGTTGAGGATACAAAGAAGAAAGTATTACTGAAAAATAAATCTCTGATGATTACAGTTAAATAGATGTAGCCAATAATAGGACTGTAAAGTATAATTTTTGAGTTAGGATTCTTAAAACAGAAGACACATTAGGGAAAACTTAAGAAAATCTACTATACTCTTCTTGTGCAGATATACGGTAGCACTGAGGGAATGTAACTGATACAAATTTTAGTAAAATGCCCTGTCATATTAAAATAATTGTGCAGAGTGGTCACTTAGAGGAATGTGATTTTAAGAAATTAAAAGCAAGAGAAGGCTGAGAAGAAGGTGAAGACAAAAGAAAGCAAACTACCACCATGCTCTTTGACATAAAAGAAGAAAGCAGAGGGGCACCTAGGTGGCTCAGTTGGTTAAGCGTCTGACTCTTGATTTCATGACTCAGGGTTGTGAGATCAAGCCCGTGTCGGGCTCCACACTGAGCATGGAGCCTGCTTAAGATTCTCTCTCCCTCTCCCTCTGCCCTTACCCTGCCCCTGCTTGCATGCTCTCTCTCTCTAAAAAAGAGTAAATTAAATTAAAAAAATAAAGCAGCAAATTTTTAGGTAAAATGTTCTTCTAGTCCACTGTGAAAATAGAATTTTTTAAAAAGCAGTGTAGCACCTTATCCCTTAAGGGATAAGCTTACTTGATTTTTGTTTCTAACCTTTTTGGGAGTTTTGGGCTTTACACAGCTGGAAACTTTTACCAAGAAGTCAAAGACAAACTAAGCCTGTAGACTAGAATCCTCTGACGGATTTACTGTCTCTTATCTGTGAAGGAACTTATTAATAAACTAATGATAGGCTCTAATGCCAAATCAATTTGTCTCTTTTCCCAATTTGCATTCCCAATACGAAGTCGGTAAAAATTGAATGTTACTGGATTCATATACTCTTAATATTTTTAGATGTATCAATGTGAGGTGGCAAATCAAGAGCACAGTATATCTTCACACAAGTGAACCTCTTGCCTTTCACTGCAGTTATATTTCGTTGTATATAAAATGTTTAAGGAGAAACAAACAAACAAAAAATTCCAGGAGGAGACTTGAAGATTCAACCAAAAACACTGGACCTGGGATGGTATATAAGTGGGAAGAGAGAGAGATGGTCATTAAAAGAAACTTGATCAATTTAGCAAATGTAAGGAAATGCAAAAAAAAAAAAGAAAACAAGTACAAAAGACAGTAAGTAATAAAAAGAAACTATGCTTCAAGAAATATATATGAATGGATTAAATTCCCAGAGTAAGATAGATTTAAGATTAGGTTAAAATACAAAATCCTGTTCTACATTTTTATAAGTAAGACTCATAAAATAAAATGACAGAGAAAGACTCTAATACATTTTCTGAACAAATTATCAGAATCGTTACTATTTTACAACAACTAATAGTCCTAAAAATATTATTTAAAAATTTCATAATAAAGAAAAAAATCAACATTATACCTGAACTTCAGAGGATGTTCCATCTTGTGCTAGAGCCAATAAAATGCTGACACTGGTTTTTAGATGTTGTCCTGAGCCGATACCACCAACATAGCGATGCAAGCAGCCCAGAGCCAATGAATGCCCAGTTCTGGATACAACATCGCGGGCTGATTTCAACCTGAAAAAAAGGTATGCTTCAGAAATTGGTTTTTCTATTTCCCTATGGAAATCAGAAAAGACTACAGTTATGATTACTTCTTTTTCCACTCCCTACCAAGAGTTAGAGATTAATGACAATGGTTCGTGAAAGTGACATATTTCATGGAATAAAGCCTATTTTTATTTTAAAGAAAATGTGAAAGAAGAATCACAACTTCTCAGTTTTAAACATTATTCCTTGAAAAGTCAAGAATCATTTGAAAAATATTTTTATTATTGGTGTTTTAAATAAAAGAATTGTTTTTATAACTGGTTTTAAAAATATAAAAAACAGGGTAACTCTAGTCATAGAATTAAAGAAAATGTTAACTTTCACTTAAGAAATTTTCTATAATTATGATGTGAACCTCTTTAAAATGCATCAGTCCTTTTCTCTGTGAAATATATCTAATGAACTAAAAAATATAAAAAGGAGATATTGTATATTAATTTTTGAAAATAGGCTTTATTGAGATATATACAATAAAATTCACCAATTTTAATTCTTTTCAAGTAAACATAGAACATTTACCAAGACAGATAATTAATTCCAATAAATGGAAATAAAACATATCAGAATTTATGGGATGCAGCTAACGTATGTTTTAAGGTGAATTTATAGTATTAAAATTCTAATATTAGGAAAGAAGAAAGGTTTTAAATCAATTATCTAAACTTCCACCTTCAGAACCTAGAAAGAGAAAGCAAACTGAACCAAAAAAAAGCATAATGAAGCAAGTTATAAGGGTAAAGCAGAAATCAGTGGAAGAGAAAACAGAAAAATGGAGAAACTCAATGAAACAAAAGCTGTTTTTTTTAAAAGAACCATAACACTGATAAACCCTTCAACTGACTAAATAAGAAAAAAAGGAAAGACAGAATGTATATTCTGCTGCTGTTGGGTAAAGTATTCTATAAATGTCAATTAGGCCAAGTTTGATGATTGTATTGGTAAAATCTATATTTTTAATAATTTGGGAGCATCTGTTCTATCAATTACTGAGAGAGGAATGCTGAATCTCCTATAATTATGGACTTTCACTTCTATTAGGTTTTGTTCCATGTATTTTATTTTATTTTTTTAAAGATTTTATTTATTTATTTGAGGGAGAACGAGCTGGCAAGGAGGGGCAGAGGGAGAGGGAGAAGCAGGCTCCCGCTGAGCAGGGAGCCCGACGCAGGGCTTGATCCCAGGACCCTAAGATCATGACCTGAGCTGAAGGCAGACGCTTAACCAACCGAGCCACCCAGGTGCTCCTTGTTCCATGTATTTTAAAACTATATCATAAGATACATAAACATAGAGAATTGCTATGTATTCTTGGGGAATACATCCTTTTATCATTATGAAATCACTCATTTATTCTGATAACAATCTTTGTTACAAAATCTACTTTTTCTAATAATAACAGAGCCACTTCAGCTTCCTTTGGATTAGTGTTTTCATGCTATATTATTCCTATCCTTTTACTTTTAACCTCTCTCTGTCTTTTAGTTAAAGGGGTTTCTTGTAGACAGCATATAGTTAGATCTTGTTTGTTTTTTTATTTTATTTTTTATTTGAGAGAGAGTGAGAGAGCATGACTGGGGGCAAGGGGAGGTAGAGGGGCAGAGGGAGAAGGAGAAGCAAACTCCCCACTAAGCAGGGAGCCCAACATGGGGCTCAATTCCAGGACTCTGAGATCATGACCTGAGCTGAAATCAAGAGTTGAACACTTAACGGACTGAGCCAACCAGAAGCCCCTAGATCTTGCTTTTATTTCTTTCTTGATTTTAAAGATTTTATTTATTTATTTGAGAGAGAGAGAGAGAGATGAGCAAGAGAGAGCACAAGCCGGGGAAGGGGCAGAGGGAGAGGGAGAGGCAGGAGCAGATTCCCTGCTGAGCAGGGAGCCTGATGTGGGACTCGATCCCAGGACCCTGGGTTCACGATCTGAGCTGAAGGCAGACACTTAACCAACTGAGCCACCCAGGTGCCTGATCTTGTTTTTATTTAATCTGTAAAACCCTAACTTTTACTTGTAATGTTTAGACCATTTACATTTAATGCTATTATCGGCATGGTTGGGTTTAAGTCTACCATATTGCTATTTGTGCTCTATTTGTCACATCAGTTTGTTCCCTTTTCCCTCTTTCTGTCTTCTTTTGGATTTAGTATTTTTTATGATTCCATTTTATCTCCACTATTGGTTTATTAATTATACATTATTATTTTTTAGTATAATCTCTGGAGTTTATAATATATGTATTTTTAAAAGATTTATTTGAGACAGAGTGAGAGAGAGCACAAGCAGGGAGGAGGGGAAGAAGGAGAAGCAGGCTCCCCGCTGAGCAGGGAGTTCCACATGGGGCTCAATCCCAGGACCCTGGGATCATGACCTGAGCTGAAGGCAGACACTTAACTGAATGAGCCACCCAGGTGCCCCTATAATATACACTTCTAAGTCTTTATGATCTACCTTCAAAGAATATCATATTCTTTCATGTATATTATACACAATCAGAGTATACTACCATTTCCTCTTCCCATTCTCTGTGCTGTTGTCAGGTATCTTACTTCTCTACATATTAAAATCCTACCGTATGTTATTATATTTGCATTAAAGAGTCAATTATCTTTCCAAGGCATTTGAGAATGAGAATAAAAATAGCTTGCAGACTCTGCTGCCCAGGAGCTGCCCATGCCACCCAGCCATGGTCAACCCTACCGTGTACAACATTGCCATGATTGGTGAGCCCCTGGGTCACATCTTTGAGCTGTTTTGCAGACAAAGTTTCAAAGACAAGAGAAAACTTTCATGCTCTGAGCACTGGAGAGAAAGGATTTGGTTATACAGCTTCCTACTTTCACAGGATTATTCAGGGATTTATGTGCCAGGGTGGTAACTTCACATGCCATAATGGCACTGGTGGCAAGTCCATCTGTGGGGAGAAATATGATGATGAAAATTTTATCCTGAGGCATATGGGTCCTGGCATCTTGCCCATGACAAATGCTGGACCCAACACAAACAGTTCCCCATTTTTTCATCTGCACTGCCAAGAGTGAGTGGTTGGATGGCAAGGCTGTGGTCTCTGGCAAGTCTTCAGGGCATGAATATTGTGGAAGCCATAGAGTGCTTTGGGTCCAGGAATGGCAAGACCAGCAAAGATCACCATTGCTGACTGTGGACAAATCTAATAAATTTGACTTGTGTTTTATCTTAACTACCAGTCCATTACTTCTGTAGCTCAGGAGAGCACCCCTTCACCCCCATCTGTTCAAAATATCCTATAATCTTTGTGCTCTCACTGCAGTTCTATGAGATCCATATTTTCCTTATTCCCCTCCAAGTCTAGCTGGATTGCAGAGTTAAGTTTATGATTACAAAATAAAAACTAAACAACAATAAAAAAGAAATTAATGAGAAAAAAATAATAGGTCATTTAAAAATAGACTTATAAAAGAATAAGTCTTTATATTTATCCACATAGCTACTACTTTTGGCACTCTTCACTTCTGTATTTACATCCAAATTTCCATCTCATATCATCTTTTTTGTGTGTGTGCAAAAAGCTTCTTTTAACATTTCTTATAGTATACCTTGTAAGCAATGAATTTCCCAACTTTTCACAGTCTTAAAGTCTTTATTAAAACTTTGGTTTTGAAAAGCATTTTCACTGGGTATAAAGTTCTAGGTCATTCTACTGTTTTCTGCTTGCACAGTTTATGATCAGAAGCCTGCTAAAACTGTTACCTTTGTTCCTCTGCATGATGTCTTTTCCCCACTGGCTGCTTTTATGATGTTCTTTTTATCACTGGCTTTAAGGAATTTGATTATCATATGCTTTTTGATTTGTAAATTTATAGTTGTCATCAAAATTGAAAATTTTTGTCTACTATTTCTTCAAATAATTTTTGACCTACCTTTACTTCTAAGATTTCAATTATCTGAATGTAAGCTTGACATTGTTCTAGAAGTCACTGAGACTTCTGTTCATTTTTTCCCCAGTCTTTTTTTTCTGTGCTTCATTTGGAATAGTTTCTATTTCCATCTTCAACATCACTTTTTTTCCTACTGCAATGTCTAACCTTCTGTTAATCCCAATCAATGTATTTTTTTCATTTGAAATATTTTACATTTCTAGAAGTTTCCCCTGGGTTATTTTATGAATTTCAATTTTTTCATCACGCTTGTGTTTTTCTTATACTTCCTTAAAAATATGGAGCATATTTTTCAGTATTCTTCATTGCTAATTCCATCATTCCTTCCATTTCTGGGCCTATTTCCAAAGACTGATATATTCTCCTGGTAATAGATCTTACTTTCCTGCTTCCTTACACATTTGATTAGTTTGGACTGGATAGTGGGTACTATACATTTTACGATATTAGGTGCTACACTAGTTGTGTTTCTTTAAATACTATCGGGCTTTGTTCTGGAATGTACTTATTAATTAGAATCCGTTTGATCCTTTCAAGGCTTGCTTTTAAATTGTTTTAGAGTGGGTCAATATTGCCTTCACTACTAAGGCAATATCCTTCTAAGATTCCATTTTAGGTCTTTCCAATCTGGACAGTAGAAACTATTTTCAATCCTGTGTGAGCCCTGGGGACTGTTTCATATTCTGTCCACCTATTCACCTATTCTTTTCTGTTTTTTTTTTTTTTTCCTGGTCTTGGGCAGTTTCCTTCTGCACATAGCAGCACTCAGCCAAAGACCTGAGATGACTCCTCTGCTCAGAGCTCTCTTTCCATGCAGCTCTCTCCTCTCACATATTCTATTCCACACATTCTAGCTATGTTGACCTCCCCAAACTCCAACTTCTTTCTCCTTAACTCAGTTAGGTTTGGGTTTCCTATCCCTGCATTTCAGCCTGGAAACTCTTTCTAGGCAGAAATCTGGAGCAATTATAGTGTTCCCCTTTCTCAGTGTTCCCATTTCTCAGGGATCACTGCTCTATGCTGGCTATTGCCCAATGTCTGAAAACCATCGCTTCATTTATTTTATCTGGTTTCCTAGTCGTTTAAGACAGCAGCAAAAAGCCAGCCCCTGTTCTTCCACCATGACTGGAAGTGCAAGTCCTGTATATATTTTTAATGTTTATTTGAAAGAATAGATTTCATTATTTTATTCATATGTAAGTAGCAATGTAGAGAGTTTAAAACAGAACCTCTAAACCTCATTTTGGACAATGGAAAAGGTCAAATAGAAGAACATATGTAACAACACTTTTTAAGCTATAAAATACTACGACTCATAATGTCCCTCATAATCACATACCAACATAGTCAGTTACTATTAGAAAACAGGATAAAAAAAAAAGAAAACAGGATAAAATACCACTAAGAATGGAGCACCTACAATAACAAAGATGTCTAGAGAGAAACTTTGGTTGAATTTTCAGAACTGTATTACAACTCTCAGTAAGCCACCCATAACCAAATTTCTGTTAAACCCATAAAAGTAAAATAAAGCCAAGAGATGAAAATCCATCACCAAAACTCTGGCTGGTCAGTTTGCCTATGGTGAAGAAAGAAAAATCCCAAGTGCTGTCACAAAACAGATATGAAGAAATGTAGTAATGAAGGAAGTAAACTAAGTCTATTCTTAGCAGTATTTCTAACATAATACATCCTTGGATAAATAACCTCTATCTCTCTATGACTCAGTTTCTCCATAGCAGTCATTTTGGGGAATGAAAGAAGTTAAGAATGAATGTAATCTTGTGAATTCTAAAGCATTACACAGATGACAAAACTGCCTTCATGTTGGTACTTTTCAAAAGGTAATATTTCAGTGAGATAAAAAGCTGAGCCAATTCTCTCAGTGATAATCATCTATTCAATAGAGTAAATAATCTAAGCTACAAGAATATATACTTCCCAGGGGTCTCAAAGTGATTTTCAGTTTGAATGGAAACAAATTCAACCAGTAATGATTTTTATTTCCTTCTGAACTAGGTCTTAAGCAGTTGAAGAAACTCCCTGTTAACTAGAATGGTTTAAGAGAATGATTCCTGTCTAAATGCTAAGATGGCATAAGATTTTAGTGTGTAAATATAGCTGACAGATCTTTATGTGTAAATACTTTTGGCCTTTCATAGTCACATATTAAATCAACAAAAGACAGTGTAGATGAAAACATTCTACTATGAGACAGGAGGACATTGAAACTTTTTCAAGCTAATCTAAGATACCACAGATCTTTATTTTTACTTTTATTTATTTTAAAGATTTATTTATTCATTTTAGAGAGAGAGAGTATGTGCACAAGCAGGGGGAGGGGCAAAGGGAGAGAAAGAAAGAGAGAGAGAGGGGAAGCAGACTCCCCACTGAGCAGGGAGCCCAAGTAGAGGCTTGATCTCAAGACCTTGAGATTATGACCTGAGTTCAAACCAAGAGCTGGAGGCTTAACCAACTAAGCCACCCACGTGCCCCTACTTATTAAGTAGTCTCCATGCCCAGTGTGGAGCCCAATGTGGGGCTTGAACTCATGACACTGAGATCAAGACCTGAGCTGAGATCAAGAGTTGGATGCTTAACCAACTGAGCCACCCAAGTGACCCTAAGATACCACAGATTTTTAAATGTACCATTACTTTATATAGTAGTATAAAAGAAAGAAAACATGTATATTGGCTAATTGAATTTAAATAAAAAAAACAAAAAACAAAAAGCACTGCCAATTAATTATGATGTTTGTAGAGAATTTAAAACAAATTCTAGTATCAGATGAATTGTGAAAAATGGGTAACTTAAAACGCATGTAATAATTAACTTCAAATCATAATCAATTATTTGGAAAAGCTAATGAAACTAGGCACTGAAAATACTTGCAAACCATTAACCAGAAAGGTATGAATATGAATGAAGGTCTTTGTGTTTCACCAGAATAACTAAAAAAAAATACTCCTACAGGTATTGGAAATACTTGTGAATTAAAACTCCTTGAACTAAAAAACAAAATGACCACTCTGGAGTTTTCCAAACAAATACACTCTAGTTTTACCTATTATTAAGAGAGCACAAACCATTAAAAGGTAAGATTGGTTGTGTATTTAAAAACATCTTTAACCAAAGTTGATTTCAGAATCAATGACATACTTGGAAAAGCAAAACTAATCTGTTGCTAGAAAATGGCAGAAGTCATCCCGCAGAAGAGAAGTATCTGGGAATATTTTATCTTCTGCTTGCTCATACTACCCTTAGTGATTCAAACAATACACTGGGGGCATTATCCTATAACCAGACAAACTGCTGTTCATGTTTGAAGACAGTGAAAACCATTCTCAGATAACCAAGAATTCAGAAATACTTTTTCTTCAAAACTACTGCTTCACCACCATTGCTTCCCCCCCCACCTCTCTCACTAAAGATTACGGCCTAGTTTGGTATAATTAATACTCAAAATACACAATTGTTAAAAACAGTTAATTTACATAACTCAAGTATCAGTTCTTGACCACACCTGATTTTCAACTTCTCTACTTAAGTACTTGATTAACAACCAAGAGTAATTAATAACTGCATCATCTTAATCATACTTATTTGGAACTCTGAAATCCTCTTTTTAATTAATATGCAAAGAAATCTTTAAGATCTAACACTAACTTTTCCCCTGTTTCAGGGATAATTTAAGAGATGATAAACTTGCTGGCAGTTAGGAAAAGAATGGCTTATTACAAAAAGTGACTAATTAACAAAAAAGTATAATGTGGGGGGGGGCAGAGATAAGAGAAAGGGACTACCAGAGCACCTCTTCAGAGTAGAATACATATAACTGAGAGAAGTCCTATTAACAGTCCTCTTGATTCCATTTTGTAACATTCAAAGGCTGAAACCTCACCACACTGAAAGTATCTATAATATTATGACTTCTCCAGATCCTAGAGTTTAAACAATTACTGAACTAAAAAGATTATAAAAAAAATTAAGATTATTAAAAAAAACACAAAATTTTGTCATATGCTATACCATGTGGAAAACATATTATCCAATTACTATAATTATTGATTACTTAAAAAGACATCTTTGCCTCTAAGAGAAACTTACTTGTCAGTAAAGAGACCCACTTACTTGTCAAAGCTATATTGGGCCATTCTAGCAATGAAGGTTGCTTCCCCAACCACCTGAGCCATTCTTCCAAGAGCTTCCCCTGCTGCACATCGTAAGATGGGGTTTGGGTTGTCCAGAGCACCCATAACCAGTGTCAGAGCAGATTTACGAACTTCCTCAGGTCCTAAAGTACTTTTGTTTTCAGCCAGGCCCTACGGTTATTTAAAAAAAAAAGGCAATTCAAAATTCACATTAAATTTTTAAAAATGTGCTGCAATCTTTGTAAACATACCCACTTCACCCACTTTTTTTAACCAGCTTTTTATTTTTTAATTTTTAAAAGTTTTTATTTTATTTTTTGTTGTTGTTGATAATGAGCTCAAATTTTTTTTTAAATTTTATTATATTATGTCAGTCACCCAGCGCTCATCATGACAAATGCACTCCTTAATCCCCATCACCTATTTCACCCATCCACCCACCCACCTCCCCTCTGATAACCAGTTTGCTCTCAATAGTTAAAGAGTTTGTTTCTTGGTTTAGCTCTCTCTTTTTCCCCTTTGCTCATTTGTTTTGTTTCTTAAACTTCACATATCAGTGAAATCATATAGTATTTGTCTTTCTCTGACTTATTTCACTTAGCATTATACTCTAGCTCCATCCATGTCATTGCAAATGGCAAGATTTTATTGTTTTTATGGCTGAATGATTATTATTATATATATACACACATATGCACAATATCCTCTTTCTCTATTCATCAATAGGTGGACACTTGGGCTGCTTCCCAATCTTGCTATTATAAATAATGCTGCTATAAAATAGGGGCGCATATATCAACCATCCTTTTTTTAATTGAAGTATAGTTGATATACAACATTAATTTCAGGTGTACAACACAGTGATTGGACAATTTTATGCATTAAGCTATGCTCATCATAAGTGTAGTCACCATGTGTCACTGTACAATATTATTACACTATTATTAACTATATTCCCCATGCTGCATTCCTGTGACCTATTTACTTTATAACTGTAAGTTTGTATCTCTTAATCCACTTCACCTATTTTACCCATTCCCCACCCCTGCCTCTTCCTCAACCATCTTCCACCTGTATATACTATGCCTAGATCAATACCTGTTAAATCGACAGTAATCACTTTCCTAAACATGATTCAGAACATGATATATAACATAGTTATAGTCAATCAGCCCTAAAATGAACAATCCCTGGAAGTGTCTCTATCCAAAGACAAATGCTCAAAAATTGTTTTTGTATGTAAAGGACACTGTACTATTAAATCAACTGTCATTCAACTGATTGACATTTATCATTAGAACTTTAAGTAAGGAAAAGGTCTGATGATTATAAAACTTTGATTTGTTTATATAAAAATTTCAGAGAAGATAATTATGTCATCAAGAGTACATTCAATATATAAAAAGATAAAATGGGTAAAAATATCAGTAACTGAATATTGATACAGTTTGTTCATCATATTAAATGTTAATATCTCTGTTCTAGGTACACTTACTGTCATGGAACTTAACTTACTTGAGACCAAAAATCCAACTCATGGTGCTGAGGGAAATGTTAACTACAACAGAGGCATTAGTGAGCGAATCTATGAAGAAAAGTGTACTTGGACCAATATTACAGCTGGTACACTAGCCTTCCAAACACTAAGAGAGACCATGACTACTTTTTTAAAAAATTCAGATGTTGGTATTAGCTGATGGTCTCTAAATAGGGCATATACTAACAGTTATATATAAACGATACAAACTTATATTTCTTTTTTTTTTTATTCTTATGTTAATCCCCATACATTACATCATTAGTTCTAGATGAACAAACTTATATTTCTATAATCAGTGCCTATGTCCCTTTTCCCTGATGTTTACAAAACATGATTTAATTCATGCCCATTTAAACACCTGTACTTACTGTCATTTTCTTTTACAAGTAAAACCTTATAATAAGCTTAGTGCTGAGCAATATAAAAAGTTTTCAAATACATCATGAGAGGCCACAGGCTGCACAGAACAGTGCATGAACTCTGAGAGATAGGCAAAATATTTGTTATTTCACTTCATACATGTAGAAACTGAGGTTCAAAAGGTTAAAGGAACTGCACAAGACATAAACCTAAATGAGAGCTAAACCAGAACACAGTCTCTAAATGCAGCCTTCTTTTAGCTATACAACATAGCCTCTCCTGATTTATGGTCTAAACCACAAAATGAACTTAAGTTTTATGTGGTTAACCTTCAGTAGAGTATCAGATGGCATTAGACATCTTTGAAAATTCTGAAAGAACTTTCCAGCACTTGTAAAATCTGAAAGGACATCGAAACATTAACTTGAACATTATTAAAATATAGAACACTATTTAATTACAATGAGCCTAATAAATCGTTTCTAATAATTTAATTAAACTAATATAAAAACATAGTTATCAAGGGATACACATATAATCATCAAAACGGTCTAGAAATACCTGCCTTAGTAAAGGCATTAATTAAAAATCTTAGTTGAGAATACTTGTTTTAAAAGTAAATACCTTTAGTGCACTAAGAACAGCAGTAAAAATATTAAGCTGCACAGCCTGTTGGCGGACACCTTTGGCTTGTTTAACACATTCAGCAAAGTGATCCAACATTTGTAATCTATAATCATAGAATAAAGATAACATTAGCAATACTTTTCATTCAAATATGGCTCAGAAAACAGAAGTAAGAGCAATAGCTAAGTGTTTAACAAATAATGTCCCATGCTGTTTCATTTCTATTTCATTCCTGCAGCTGGTTCAAACCAGATCTCCTCCTCCTGAATTGATATAGGGACATGTGGTTTTTAACTGGAACAAAGCAAGCAACTAAATATTAAGTTTCAATTAACGAAATAAGGTCATAACTTCAAGGTCATAATGTTCTTTAACGTTAACCTCAGCATCTAACAAAGTGACTGGCATATAGTAGGTGCTCAAGGTTTCTTGAATAGAATAATAGTCACTAACTATGCATCTTTTTTTAAGTTGAAAAATTTAAAATGTGGCATAATTTTTTTCTTCTTTCAAAATATTCTCACATGGAAGAAAATAGTACCTCATGTCCTATTCTCAAAAGCCAACTGGGAGATTTTGAAAAAAATTTAGCTTTGGTAATTTTTTTTTAATGTAGAAAATCAAAAATGAATTTTTTTTATTATTTCAAATTATTTAAATGAGGCAGCAAAAAAAAAATCACAGCCATTTGAGACTACTCGGATAAAAGAGATTGAGATCATTTCAGATTCTGAAAATAAATGGGATGGGCAAAGGAATGCTGGGAAGTTGGATTTAGTACTAAAGTAACTATGAACTAAAGTAGGAAACCAGTATCTCCCTTAAGGTCACTATAAGGATTTAAGCTCAGTGTATAATAGGCCATAGGTCTCAGGTCAAAGCATTCTTCAAAATCAGAGGAAGAAATCATCTAGTCTCCAGTAGGAACTCCAGTTAGTGTTACTGGGGGCTAAAACTGACTACTTTAACACTTGCTGTGACATAGATCCACATCTTCTATGGATGAGGAAGCAGCGCATTATTCACACTGCTTTCAAGCACACGCATAAGAAGAGACACATGTCTCCAACACTACCGTTAAGCATCATTTGCCTATAACTGACCTCAAGTACATAACCTTTTAAAACGACTTATTTAAAAAATGTTTTTCTTTATTATAAAATAGTCATTTCATTTAATTTGGAGACTAGTAACAAAAAGTTACTAGCCAAAAGTAACTACTCTTAACCTCAGGTATAATCATTTCCTTTCAGGTCTTTTCTTACGTATTCACATATACATATGTATTGGTATACACATGTACATTTTTATGTATTTTAAAATACTAAACTGGGATCACTTCTTGCTTTTTATTTTACTTTTCTTATTTAACATTTTATAAGGAGTGTTTTCTGATATCAAAACATTGTCTATGTAAAAAATATTCTAGTGGCTCCTGTGTGGCTCAATCGTTAAGCGTCTGCCTTCGGGTCAGGCCATGGTCCCAGGGTCCTGGGATCGAGCCCCGCATCGGGCTCCCTGCTCAGCGGGAAGCCTGCTTCTCCCTCTCCCACTTTCCCTCTGCTTGTGTTCCCTCTCTCGCTGTGTCTCTCTCTGTCAAATAAATAAATCTTTAAAAAAAAAAAAATTCTAGCCTGTCAACTTTCCATAATTGATTCATTCATTCCTCCATCACTGGATATTTAAGGTATTATTATATTTTTAATAGAATTTATTTATTCATAGTTCACCTTGTACAAAAGTGATTTAAAGTAGTTAAGATAATCCTGGATTCTAGTTACAGCTCTCATAACTAGCTATATAACTTTGGGCAAACCACAAACTCTTGGACCTGGATTTCCTTGGATTTAAAACAAGGACATTAAATTAGATGCTTTATGAGATTCTTCCACCTTTAATGTTCTTCAACATTTATGTGGCAACTAAATGTTCTTAAAGATATCTGGGTAAAGTAAAATTTCACAATGAAGTTTTTCTTCTCAAATTAAAAAGCAATTATCAAGTAACCTACACATTTTTAAAGATAACACTTGTTATCTTTTATATTTATGCTATCTTTTATATACAAATATAACAATGTTTTAAAAGCATGTTTTTTATTTTGCGGGGGGAGGCACCTGGCTGGCTCAGTCCGAAGAACATGTGACTCTTGATCTTGGGGTTGTGAGTTTGAGGATATAGAAATTCCTTGAAAACAAAATCTTTAAAAATAAAAAATAAATAAATAAATAAGTATATTTTATATATATATAAATAATAAGTATATATTATAAGTATATTATAAGTATTATAACTATATAATAAGTATATATTATATATATATATAATTTTTAAGATTTTTTATTTTTAAGTAATTTCTACACCCAACGTGGGGCTTGATCTCACAACCCCAAGATCAAGAGTCACACCCTCCACTGACTGAGCCAGCCAAGTGCCCCTAAAAGCATATTTTGTTAAACAAGTTACCTGAAAGTATCTTACACTAAGTCATTTTCACTTTTCCTTTTGAGAAAACCACCATAAATAGACAAAATGCCTACTAAAGTTAGGGAGAGTGTCTGTATACAAAGAATACAGCAAACCAAAATGCTCCTCTTAGAAAAACAACCAGTTATTTTAGTTTCCCAAGTTCAGACTCAAATCGAAAGACAAACGTTATTAGAGAGTAGACTTCTCACTCATTAACTTCTTCAGTAACAAAATCAAAAGACTTAAGCAAACTGATTTAATGATTCCTTGTTAAAGATATAGTGAAAGCCTACTTATAAGCTGTCAAATGAACTACTGAAATGAAAATCTTGCCGTTTAAGACATAGTCCACAATACAATGGTACCAGACGCTAGTACACAGAGCCAAATCTTAAGAACAATTTCAAATTATGTGGAATTTTCATGTAATTTTTCCCATCATGTACGTGTCACTTATGTTATTAAATTTATAAGCCTATGTTTAAGTAGTAATTCACCTTATTGTAGGTAACTGGGATGGGAGCCTATTGTTTGAATATAATTTATATGCATATATTTTTTCCTGATAGATAACTTTATTTACGTTAAATACTTTAAAATTTTTTAATTTATTTTATTTACTTATTTTTAAAGTTTTTATTTAAATTCCAGTTAGTTAACTTACAGTGTAATATTAGTTTCAGGTGTACAATGTAGTGATTCAACACTTCCATACAACACCCGGTGTTCCTCACAACAAGCGCACTCCTCAATCCCCATCACCTCCTTAACACATCCCAATAACCACCACTCCTCTGGTATAATTTATATTTAGCTAAAATTACCTGATTGACTTTATACTAACCGGTGTTTATAAGAAACATGAGGAAACACCACACCAAAAAGAGCCACGGAAGCATCAATGACTGAAACCCCAAGAGGAAGAGGACCAGGCACAGCTTCTCCAGCAGGGATTCGTAAATAAATGGAGGATGGATCATGCTCCAGAGCCCCACTTCCAGATGCACTGTTTGGCTGGAGCTACAAAAAGAATGACATAAAAATCATTCAAAATCTACTTGAATGAGTATTAGTCAAGAAGAACAGAATGAGAGGAAGGAAAAAAGGTACCAGTATCAACAAAAAAACCAAGAATGACTGAATCTGAAAATTTCCAACAAAAAAACCATAAGAATGACTGAATCACAAAATTTTTAAATAGATAAAAATATGATTTGGCCATGAAACAAAGCCATCAGTAACACCTTGTATAATTTTAAGAAAATGCTCATTCATTCTAAAACATTTTTATACTGCCCACCTTAAAATGTGCAAGCCAAACAATATCAGGAGGAACTTAAACCCACAAAAAATTCATTAAAAGAAGCTGTAGTAACTCTTTTTTAAAAGAACAGAAGAAATTTACCTTTTTTCACTATTTATCTACCATCAGGAAGCTATCTTTAAATGTCTAAGAAAGCCAAAATAAAATTAAACTTTAGTCTTCAATATTTTCTTTTTAAATGACAATGTATAATAACACCATTGCTTTTGATGAAGTTGTATTTAAATTCCCTGTATGGTTTGCTACCTGGTCTTCAATTGATTTATGATCAGTTTCTTGAAGCCAGGAACCTAGAAGAACACTGTCATCATAATGGCAGAGGGATCTGAGGAGGGAAGTAGTTGTGTTGGCTGAATTGTCAGTCAAAGTGAATTCTGCTACCAGTTCTCTAAGAAGTGCGTTGAAAGATCCTAAAAAACAGAACTTCAGATCAGACGTGAAAGAATAATTTTTAGGAAATTACAATCATTGCCCACAAAAAGAAGCAACATGTTCTAAAGGGATAAAATAATTAAGTCCCTGTTCTCTTTTTAAAAAAATCTATACTAAATATTTTAATGCTAGTTTTAACATACAATAACAGTACTTTCATTTTTATTATTGTATTATGCCTTTTAGCCCAAATTATTTAAAGTAACAAAAATACTCAGGAAATATTTATATTAAATATTCACATTTAAATTTAATGAATTTAAATATATTAAATATATTTTAATGCTTTAAATACCTATTTAAATATATTAAATATGATACAATTATTAATTAATTACCCAGTGATGTGCAAACACTGAACCAGAGCACATCAGAATTCTTGGGCATGGCTGAACTGAAGACAAATCAATGGCTTATTTTAATATTAGCATTTTATATAATATTTGATATCTGCAAAGTACATTATTATTCTCTGTCAAGATTCCTAAATTATTGTCTATATTATAAGAATTATAGATTATATGAAGCAGTTTAGGGTAATAATTAAAAGCATAGAGGAGCGCCTGGGTAGCTCAGTTGGTTAAGCGTCTGCCTTCAGCTCAGGTCACGATCCCCGGGTTCTGGGATCCAGCCCCACATTGGGCTCCCTGCTCAGTGGGGAGTCTGCTTCTCCCTCTGCCTCTCCCCCGCCTGTGCTCTCTCCCTCCCTCTCCAATAAGTAAATAAAAATCTTTAAAAAGTAAATAAAAGCACAGACTTTAAAGCTGAACCAGCTGGGGTTGAATCCAAGCTCTGCCACTTACTAGATCTCAGACTTGGGCAAGTTACCTTACCTCTCTGTACCCGAGGCTCTTCATGTGTAAAATACGGCTGAATTACCTCATAAAGTTGTGGTTAGAGTCAAAGGAGATAATACATGTAAAGAGATTAGAACAGACCCAGAACACAGTAAGTGCTCAGCAAGTGTTAGCTTCTCTATATGAAGAGAAGTAACATGGTTGTCTTCCTCTGCAAAGTCAGGGGAGAGCCTTGGTCAGAACTCTGTAATATGGTGAAGAACTGGAAAGGTAATATATTGAAGAATTTTTATTAGATACTGTGAACTTTATTTACCTTCATAAGTTTTTGGAGGTAACAAAGCCAAGATATCATAAAGTCTTAAACGGACCATTGCAGCACTGGCTTTCAGATGAGCTCCATGGGCTTTAATTACAGACGGAATGCTAAAATATCAAAAATATAGTTGGTATCAGCTTACTCGCATAAGTGTTACTCAAAACATTTTCAGCAATGTATCAATGAACTGTCAAAATACATTGGTATTACATTTTCATTTTAGTTTATTCTGTGGCCTTTACTGGAACACTATAAAACACAATTTTATTTCAACCCATACCATACTATAATTTTATTTTATTTTACTATTATGTTATGTTAATCACCATATATTACATCGTTAGTTTTTGATGTAGTGTTCCATGATTCATTGTTTGCCCATAACACCCAGTGCTCCATGCAGAACACGCCCCCCTTAATATCCATCACCAGGCCAACCCATCCTCCCACCCCCCTCCCCTCTAGAACCCTCAGTTTGTTTCTCAGAGTCCATCGTCTCTCATGGTTCGTCTCCCCCTCCGATTTCCCCCCCTTCATTCTTCCCCTCCTGCTATCTTCTTCTTCTTCTTTTTTTTTTTAACATATAATGTATTATTTGTTTCAGAGGTACAAGGCTGTGATTCAACAGTCTTACACAATTCACAGCGCTCACCATAGCACATTACTATAATTTTTAAGGTCATTTTAAGACAGTAAAGTTTTATATGTGTCATATATGACATTAGAGGGAAATACAAAACATGACTATTTATAAATATGCAAAATTGGATGTTAACTTGTCCTAACTGCTTACTTACTGTGACATCATAGTCATGGCACATTCAATAGGGGTCATCAATTTTCTAATCACATCTTCAGTTAGGAGCTCGGGGCAATGTGCAACAAAACTCCTCATTGCTAGATAAAATATTTAAAAGAACAGATTTAAGATAGCTTTTGTGAAAATAAAATTATAGAATTATATAAAGATACCTGTAATTCTCCATTATTATACAATATAAGGTTCTGAAATCAGGTCAAACCAAAAGAAGAACTAACTGCAACTATAGAGAAAAATCATTAGAAAAGTCTAGAAGAAAGGTGGAGGGAGGGAAGATATCTGTTAGGGAGATTTTTGTGAGTGGGAAATCAAAGGTCTTGTAACATCACTAAATTCAGACAACTACAAAGAAAGCAGTTTCAAGACAGAACCAAGAGTGCACAAAATAGCTCAGATAGAAGGAACATCTTTGCTGCCCCTTTAGCTACAGAACTAAGACAAAAACAGCTCTTAGATGTGTGGGAACAAAACGGACCCCTTGCCCTGCCACCCTTATGCTTTAGTGTATATCTGTTTCCCACAATTTGGAAAAAGAAGCACTTTTCACTCTGAGATAAATCAAAAAAGAATAGAGTCACCCAGGGTAATTCTAGTTCCCAAAGGAAACCAAACTTGAGCCTTTCTTGTAAGTTGCCGACTTCTAAACAAAAACAACTTTATTCATGATTTTCCTGACACTGATGTCTGGAAAAAATGCATCAACATTTGCAGATTTGATAATGCTGGCTGTCTGTCCATTATGAAAAGACGTACTGTCAACTCAGTGACCTTGGAGACCGTGAGTTTCTTCTTCCTTTGAATACCTACCGGGCTGTTTACGTGGTGGCCCGTGCCTCTCTGACAGGTGGACTACTGCTGTAACTGGGAATCAATAACTGGGCTCTGGCTCTCATCTTACCACTAATGCTAACCTCCTTTTGAGAGTCTCAGCTTCATTTCCATTGCAAAATTAGCAAACCGGCACAGGTTATTTATAAAGTTTCTCTCTAAATCTACAAGTCTATGAATTTATTATTACACATTAAAATAAAAATTTGAAGTAGTTATTTTCCTTCCCCTCACAAATATTTTAGTAATAAAATAATATTCTGAGAGTACAATCCTTTCAGTTCTTACCACATAAAGCTCCGGCACGACCTTCCAATGTCACCTGCCAGGTAAAAGAATCGCCTCGGGCCTTCTCAGCCTCCAATTCCTTTAGAGAACGGGGAAAAACATTTCGCCACAGTAACAACATCTTGGGCAGATGATAACGAACAACAGATGGTCCTATTGGAGAAAACGAGAATGCGAAACCATACACATAAACCATATATATAAACCATACATTACAAAGTCAAAGAGCCCCACATAGGCTTTAACAATACCCATCGTTTCACTCTATCTTTACCTGTAATGTAAGATTTTCAACGTGCGTCTTTTATTTTCCAGTTTGACTGAGAAATAATTGACATATATTGCTGTATAAGTTTAAGGCATACAGCATGATGGTTTGGGTTATAAATAATTGTAAAATGAGTACCATGACAGGTGCAGCCAACACTCATCATCTCATATAGACACAATAAAATGAAAAAAAAATTTTTTTTAATCTTCTCCTTGTGACGAGAACTCTCAGGATTGACCCTCTTAACAGCCCTCCTGTCTGTCACACAGCAGTGTGATCTGCAGCCACCGTGCCGCACACCACACCGCTGTATTTACTCAGCTCAGAACTGCAAGGCTATACCTTTTGACCACCGTCCTCCACCTCCTCCCCCCCACCTCAAAATGTTTCTTAACATATCTATTAAAGCATAATAAAACTCACCTACAAAGTATCAACATTTTTAGCAGCCAAACGTAAATCCATAACAAGTACTTTAAAAGATATTACCCAACTATATTCAGAATGGTGGCTTATGCATTATCAATAATGAAATACATCTGGGATACAGCTTATGACATCTTTTCTATAAATACACATGTATATAAACATAGACACCCAAGTCCCACACACATACGTCTATATATTCCTCTATTTGGGGGGCAACTGATATGGCTAATTTTGTTTTATGGAGGAGCGGTATGTTTAGAACTAAGAATTTACATTCTGAGGAACTCCTTTAACATACCATGTAACGTATTTAACATAAATTTCTGGAAAAGTTAGCACTTTTTATTTTCTTTAGAAAACTAGGGCAAAGTATACCTTCCAAAAGGTAGATGCTCAAAGTGGTGAGTGATTCTGTAGAGCACACACACACATGAACTAAAAAGTAGACACATCTCATCGCCAGGACAACATGTCTTTCTGTTCTCTGTACAGTGCTAAACTTTGCCTGTATCTCAGATTTGTCACAGCACTTAGGAAAGTGAAATGCAGAATGGTAACCCCAGAAAAGCAGCACCAAAAAGACCATTTAAATGTGACCTTATTACCACCCTACCAAAATCATGCCACTCACGTCACTCTGGGGATGGAATGTGCCCCCATACTCTTATCTCATTTGGTTAACACTAAGCCAATTAGTTAGACCAGGCCTATTCTGATAGTAAAGGTGAAACTTTGTTAACAAATTTCTCATTAAATGTACTTAAGCAGAAATTACCAAAAATAGGAATCCACTCCCAAATGAGAGGAAAAACACCTTCACCAATTTTCTCATGTCATTCACAGTCTAGAATGTGAAGTTTAATACTTTTAAATTAAACTTTCTTTATCGTCTACTGACAGTTATACAGTTAGACAAGATCCTACTCAAATATAACTATACCTAAAGTCATAAGTGCTCCAAGTAAAAGCCATCCAGCCTGGGTACGCTGTAAAGACAGCCTGCTATTTTGGGCAGCAGTTCGTAAGAGATCTTCAGCAATACTAACTACCATCTGCAAGAGAAGTTTAAAATTGGATTTTAACTGAAACAAGTTAAAGAAATCAAATAAGAAAATACATAGCTAGTGTGCTTAGTTAAAAAAAAAAAAGTTGTCCTTTTTTGTTGTTGCTGTTAACATGTCTTAAAAGAGGCAACATCAAGGGCTGCTTTATCCTGATTGCACGCCTGTCTCTGAGGACACCCCACATAGCACAGTGGTTAAGAGAGAGCTCCAGAGCCAGACTGCCTGGGTTCATATCCCAGCTTTGTCATTTCCTGGCTTTCTGACCTGGGATAACTTAACTTCCCTGCCTCAGTTCCCTTACTGGTAAAACAGGTATAACAGGAATGCCAACCTCACTCCAGGAAGCATTAAGTAAGTTAATACAGCAAAGCACTCAGAAGAGTGCTGGTCCATGCAACCACTTAATAAATGCTATTATTGGTAGTACTGTTATCCTATATTCGAAGATTTGTTGAACTCCCATTATGTTTCTGCCATTAAGCTAATCTTATGGCACCTACAGTCTTATTAGAGAATCTGTCACAGGGAAAATGGGAAGTAACAAGCAGCACATGATTAAATGACAAAATAGTAAGACAGATGTAGTCGTGGTCTGCAAAGGGGAAGGTTATCCTAGATGGAGTAGCTCTGAGGAGACGGCATGAAAGAAGTGACACTCTAATTGGGCCTTCAAACAAATGGATAAGTTTGGTACAGGTGACCAAGAAGGGGGACGAGATTCTAATGTACGAACAAAGGCATGAAGGCTGAAAAAGGCATGAGAAGAAAGCAAGATGACTAGTCTAAGTAGAGCAGTGGGAAATGAGAATGAATGGGTAGAAAGAAGGCAAACTGCGGAGGTGCCAGTTTACCAGACAGAGGGGATTATGTTTATTCTCTGAGCACTGGGTAGTCCCGAAGGGTCTCTGAGCTAATGTGAAACATGGAAGTGGTATGGGGAGTTGGGAGAAAGACTGCAGGCAGGATAATCAGAGAGGAGGCAGTCAAACAACAAAAGGAGACGGAAGCTGAGATTCGAGCAGTAGCTACAGAACTCTTAAGAACGAATGGATCTGGGCCTAATGTCCCAGAAAGAATCTACATATGTAAGGTTGCAAATAATATTTACATAAACAATATTCTTGAGAAAAAACCATAATAGTATTAGCAGGTATAGTAGAAAGAAACTGACTCATAAAACCATTCAACTATTATTATTATCAAAACGCTAAATGCAATAACATATACTCCTGTTATCTTTGAATACAGCAATATGAATTTTTATCTCTAAAAGCTGAAAGAAAAGCTCTGATTTCCACATAATTACTGTAAAGTTTTTTTTTCTCTAAAATAAAATGATACTACACCCAGACAAAATCTACTATTCCTATGCAGAATTAAATATCAAATTGTAATTAGGGTCTGTCAACTCCATATTGGCAGAACACTGTTTTTTATATTACTATAGTAAAACTGTTGATCACCCAGCTCAACATTAAACACAGAAAGTGTTCCAATGAAGACTAAAGCCCACATGACAGCACTTATAATTCCACGGTCTCTGTCATACCTTTCCCTTGGCATGAGGAATGCCCAACGGACACTGATGAACTCCACCTAACAAAGCAGCCATTGCAAAGCTGTAACCGCTAACAGCTTCCGGTGAAGTTTTCAAGTTGTTGAGCCGTTCTGCGCACCTGTCTAGAAACGGTGTCAGCTGGAATGGTAAAGCCACGGCCACACAGCGCAGACACCAGGCGGCGGCAAGCCGGGCAGCCATACTTGGATGAAGAAGCACTGAAGTCACGGTTTCCAAAAGTCCTAAAGAGAAATACACCAAAAAATGCCTCTTTAATAAAGTCAAATGATTTCATGAACAAGAAGAATATGTGTAACATGATTAAAATCATAATCATTATGGTTTTACCCAAATACTTTCAGAACTTTGCCAAAACACAATACATTATCTCAGAAATAGTAGAGAATTTTAAAGGAACACTTTCTACAAAAAAAAAAAAACATGCATAATTACATCCCCCAAAAATATAAAGGTTGATGTAAAAATTAAATGTGTATTCAACAAATTTTAGCCAATTATTAGAAACAAACTACCGTGACTTTATTTGTCTCCCCAACCTTTATTTCACCATTTATTCAACATTCACAAACCCAGTGAATCTTAACTTAAATAAAACTGAACTTTTAACAAATGATCTGAAAACTACTCATTATAATGGCAAGTAACTAATCAGGAGTTAAATATCAATCACACTTATGACTTTTTTTTTAAATGGTAAAAAGAATCCCAGCAAGTAAGTGAATTATCATACCTATAGATGCTTCCTGAATAAGAGGGGATGCAGTAGCATTCAGGCTCTGTACCAGGCTCCCGAGTTCTTGGAGGGCACAGACCATCACATGCTGGCTTGCTGCAATGTCTGCTGCTCCAGATTTGTTTTCACCACTAGTATCATTCACTACTGCTTCTGGAAACACAGAATCATGTGTTTGATGTGGGTGAATTAAGTTGTGACAAAACTTTTTTGATTTCTACAACTGACATTTTTATACCAGTATTTGCACCAGTTGATGCCTGGGTGTTAAAAGCTCTGTATGTAACTACTTCTTAGCAGAACACCAGTGTAACTAAACACTGAAGTGACTGAGAACACTGTTTAGTGACATCAAGGCAGTACTGAAGTATGCGCGGAGGTATTCTGCCTGCGTCCGGGAATAGCCCTAACTTGAGCAAGCAGCAGCAAAGCACAGCGTACCAAAGCACTGGTTCCTCAGAAAGGCACGTGGCTTCCAATCGCAACTCTACCAGTCACATCAGCTACATGACACTGGGCAAGCCACTCCACTAACCCAAGTCTCCAGTTCTCCTTCTGCTGAGAGGGATAAGGGACTATCTCAAAGAGTACTGTGGTGATTAAAAAGTCAATTCACATAAAGAACAGAGCACAATGCTTCCCACAATACACATGCAGTCAGTGTCAGCGGCCATTATTGTTACTTCAATATTATTGTTGCTACCTCAAGTGCTGCAATATATGGATAGCAACATTGTTGAATTACTGACCAGAAAGCAGATCCATAAGGAAACTGGCTTTAGAATTCCTTACTGAGATGCTCCTCAAAGTTCCCGTTAGCTTTGCTGCCCTCCTCCCTGACCTTTCAATAGAACTGAAATGTATTTAACATGTATTTAATTCTGCTTTTAAGATTTTTAAAAAATCAGTAAAACTTCCTCACCTTTTTTGCATTCATTGTGTATTAATAGACTATAAGATGAAATCAGAGAGGGAGACAAATCATAAGAGACTCTTAACTATAGGGAACAAACTTAGGGTTGCTGGAGGGGAGGCAGGTGGGAGGATGGAGTAACTGGGTGATGGGCCTTAAGGAAGGCACTTGATGTAATGAGCAGTGGGTGCTATATGCAACTGATGAATCACTAAACTCTACCTCTGAAACTAATAATATACTATATGTTAATTAATTGAATTTAAATTTTAAAAATAGACTAAAATATATATAATATATAATAACAGAACAGATTAATACATTATAGACTGTAATTTTCTCTTTTTTTCAAGATTTTATTTAATTTATTTGCCAGAGAGAGAGGGAGAGAGAGCGGCAAGGCAGAGGGAGAAGCAGGCTCCCTGCTGAGCAAGGAGCCCGATGTGGGGCTCAGTCCCAGGACCCTGGGATCATGACCTGAGCCGAAGGCAGATGCCCAACCGACGGAGCCACCCAGGCATCCCCAGACTGTAATTTTCATTATGGACCTCGTTATTTTTAGCTATTTCTGGACTTCGAAATGCAGGAACTCTATCTTTTGATTGCTAAACCACAGCTCCTTGACCAGGTACTATCTATATCTGGTTCACTATTTTATTCCCACAATCTGGCACAGTGTTTCTAGCCCTTAAACATTTCTTCAACATATTATTGTACAAATATTTTTCAAGTTGTGAACCTAGGACAGATTACTGTTTTAATATAACTGAAGAAAAATATCTCATTAGTTTAAACACCTTTAATTCACAATTCATAACTTTCAGTTAGCCCTATGCATTTAAAAATGCTTTGCTTGGGGCAGCTGGGTGGCTCGGTTGGTTAGGCACCCAACTCTTGATTTCAGCTCAGGTCATGATCTCAGGGTCATGGGATTGAGCCCCAAGATGGGCTCCGCGCTCACATCACAGAGTCTGCTTGTCTCTCTCCCTCTGGTCTTCCCCCTGGTTGTGCATTCTCTCTCTCTCAAATAAATACGTAAAAATCTTTAAAAATAAAAAAACAAAAATGGTTTGCTTGATGTGGATGGAGCTAGAGTGTATCATGCTAAGTGAAATAAGTCAGTCAGAGAAAGACAAATACCATATAATCTCACTCATATGTGGAATTAAAAAAAAACCAGATAAACATATAGGAAGGGGTAAAAAAGGAGAGAGGGAAACAAAGCGTAAAAGACTTTTAACAATACAGAACAAACTGAGGGGTGATGGAAGATGGTGGGTGGGGGATGGGCTAGAGAGGTGATGGGTATTAAGGAGGGCACTTGTCATGATGAGGGCACTTGTCGTGATGAGAATCACTGAATTCTACTCCTGAAACCACAATTGAACTGTATGTTAACTAAAATTTAAGTAAAAAATTTTTAAAAATAAAAAAATAAAAATGGTATGCTAAGTAAAAGCTATTATAAACAATGAAAACTATAACCATTTGTGAATTTACTTTTACTGATTTTATAAAATATTTAATATATATTCTTTAAATATAAATTACTGATTATTCTCTATTCATTAAATTGTTATTTTTTTAAAAGATTTATTTATTTATTTGAGAGAGCGAGAGAGAGAGAGAGAAAGCAAATGGGAGAAAGGTAGAGGGACAGAATCTCAGACTCCCCACTGAATGCAGAGCCTGAATGTGGGGCTCGATCCCACAATCCTGAGATCATGACCTGAGCTGAAATCAAGAGTAGGATGCTTAATCGACTGAGCCTCCCAGGTGCCCCCAAACAAAGCATTTTGAAATGCATAGGGCTAACTGAAAGTTATGAATTGTGAATTAAAGGGTGTTTAAATTAATGAGGTATTTTTCTTCAGTTATATTAAAACAGTAATCTGTCCTAGGTTCACAACTTGAAAAAAATTTTACGATAATGTGTTGAAGAAATGTTTAAGGGCTAGAAACACTGTGCCAGATTGTGGGAAAAAAATAGTGAACCAGATATAGATAGTACCTGGTCAAGGATCTGTGGTTTAGCAATCAAAAGATAGATTTATTTATTTCTAAAGGACCACTATTAGGCAATATAATTTGCCTGATTAAGGTTAAGAAAACTGAACTGTCCTACGGAATGTATATTTTACCTTTAGTTCCCTAATCGGATTAACAGCTCCATGAAGGCAGGAACTTTTACGTCACTCATTATTCAAACCCTGAATTACTGCTTTGCAATCTCAGATACTCAATAACTACTTCTTAAACTGAGAAATTTATAAAATGGACATTTCTTTTAATTATGAATAACTGAGCCTTCACAGTATATCCTACAGTGGGCTAATAACCACCTGTAATTGCTCCTAAGTCTTCCTATTACACCTATTAACAAAAGGAAAACAAACAAACATGTGTTTATAAAACAAAAGGCCCAAGCAGAAAAATTACAATAGGTTGTTCCTCAAAGATAGCAAAGCACTATGCTGCTGAATACCAGGAGAGCTAGAACATCAGCACAGGTACTAGAAATGAAACAGAAAACCTAACCTTTCAAACATGCTACTCAAATCTTTAAAAATTCCATATCACTGTAATTATGTTGTTTTAATAACAAATAAGAGTACTCAATAAAAGTGACTCTTAAAACACAGTCCAGAAAAGGACATGAACTAATCAGACCCATTAGTATTTACTAAGCATAATAACATAAAGCTAAATGACTACAGAAATCAACAACACACATCAAGATATCAATTCTTACCTACTGCTTTCATTTGTTTTCCGATAGCTTGGCATATCTCTTTGGCAGCTGCAATCTGGGCTTTTTCACCTAGCAAACTGCCCACAGTAGCTCTTAGGATAAAGGAGACACATCGTCTTGAGTACACAGCCTCTACATGTGTTTGCGTTGCCCGAGGATGGGAAACCAGATCAAGTACGTGGGACAAGAATGTAGCAAAGCTACGCTCCAACCACTGACCACCCAATGTAGTTACAAAAACAACATATGCCTATAAATAAAGATATGAGATTAGAGATAAAGCAATACAGAAATAAATGATCACAGCACACAAAATAAATTATATTTGAGATTAAAGTTGAGAAAATTCAATACTTAAAACCTTTTTAGTACTTCTAGCATAGGAATTACTGGTGGAATTATCTTTGGCTAAAAACTGTTCTTAGTAGCTTCCTGAAGAATGTAAAATGACAGTGAGGAGGGAGGGAAGGAAAGCTGAATTCATCCTGATGATGAGGAAGGTAATAGGTTATAGGATTAAGAAAACTGTCACATCCTAAATAAACATTGACCTAGGACTAGAAAGCCCTGCTTGTGACCGTAAGATAAAAATGGTTTACTTCTACTTTACACTTGTTTCAGAACAATGTACAGTTGGAGTGATTTTGACTAAGATCACAAAGAAACATTTTATCTTTTTATGTATTAATTATTCTTAGATCATTAACCATAACACCTTATTTGCTTAATTATTATCTTGTAATTTTAACTACAAGTCAGGATTAGTTTCATAATTATATTGGTGATTACTCATTAATGATAAATCCAATCGAAGTATTAACCAATACGATTAGCTACAGAGTCATTGGAGAACATTAAACTCTAAATGCCTCAAGCTATTTGAATACAATTTCAACTAAAACTGAATTATTTTACATCTGATTTTCTGCCAAGTAAAATTTGGGAAAATGTGGGATACTTACATAAATACAGCAGACAAAGGCTTATTTGCACATCATTAAGAATCTATCTTTCCATATAAGTGTGTAATTTGGAATCTGAATGTCATTCATTTGGTAAAATAAACATTTTGGAAAAAAAAAAAAAGCAGACAATATAAAAAATCTGTGTGTACTGAGTCTTCCGTGAGATTTCACCAGCAATATGAACGGAATTCTTTCATACGTATCCATTACAAACCTGTGTGACTCCAACTCTCACTTCACGATTAACAGACCCTCCGACTTTTAACATCTCTCCACCACTCTTTAAAAAACCTGACCCTCCACGTAGAAATCCTGTGGCCATGAGTTCTAAGACTTCATCAAATGTCGCTCGCTTCACGTTCTGGCGCATTACTTTCAGGAAGAAAAGTAAATTCATAAGCAATATATTTTGCTATTCATTGGATAATATTTTCTAATAAATTTAGCTTAAAAATTCAAGTAATTATTTTTAAGGATCCTTAAACCACTACAAAGAGGGTCCTTCCATTGTCTTATAGTCTTTAAATTTACAATGTACTTGCAAAAATAAATTCAATTTTGAAGCAAAAAATGCTAGGAAACATGGAAGGAGCTAGAGATTAAAAGAAATTTATTAAATCTACTCCAAACATAGCCTAATAATGTTAACCTTGATATATGTAACACAACAAGGACAAAGCACATCCATAGCAGATACTGCTAATTGATCACAGCCCTCATTCCCAACAGAGTAGACTCAAAGAAACTTTGCCAAGTCCATGCTTTCTAGACAACAGTTAGCAATAGATTAAAATGTCACTGGACTGAAGCCGAATTGCCATTCCCTTGCACAGAGTTTCATATTTTATAAAGTCTTTCACATACAGCTGCAAACATAATCCTCACAAAAAGTCTGTAGGAGAGGTATAAAGCTCATGATTAAGTATGTAGACTTTGGAATTTGGCTGCCTGGGTTTGAATTTCAGCTCTGATGCTTAACAGAACACTTAAGAGAACACAAATTACACAATCTCTGTAAGCCTCAATTTCCTTGTTTATAAATTGGGAATAGTAACAGTACTTATAATTCATAGGGCTTTTGTGAGGATTCAATAAAACTCAGTTATATGCTGAATTCAGTGCCTGGCACATAGTACTTAATAAACGTTACCTGTCATCATCATCATCTAATTGCACAGACTGAAATTATTATCGTTAAAGATAAAGAGACTAAAGCTCAAAGGGTTTTACAGCTAATTAACAAAAGAGCTAGGACTTGAATCTATAACATCTGATTCTCCTTCTACGACACAGAGCTGGAGTAGGGGTGGGGACAGTAGCAGGCGTGGCCGGGCTCCCTCAGGGTCCACTCACAACCCTCACTGAGGCACCTCTATGCAACTGTGAGGCACAGCAGAAGTCACAGGACAAATGTCTCTGACTCTGCTTACAGTAATGGCCAAAAAAAAGAAAACAAAAGAAAAATAATACTGTACTATAAAAGGGATCTACTCATCAGAGATTGCAAGTAAGGAAGCATATTAAGTGCCAGAATCCAGTCCCCTGAAGATTATACAAAACCATTTCATAAATCTTACTTGCTTTTATATCCAGTATACTTGATAGATATTATCCTGTACATTATAACCACAAAAAATGTCTTGTCTATATCAAGAAAAATGCCATTTGGGTAGTTCTATTCCCTGAAAAAGTAGACAAAGACGCTTAACAATTTAAATCTTTCAAGTGACTTGCCTATAACAAGTAACTTATTTAGATAGATTTCATATACCTTCAAATATCTGTTACAGTCTACATCAGGGATTCGCAAATGATACCTGTTGCTTGTTTTGGCATCAACGCTGTAGCCATGACTGTTCCTAAGAGTTTAGACACTGCCACTCGAACCCCATAATTTGAGTTTTCCAAAGCCTTAAAGCAGTGAGTGGCAATATTTTCCAACTCAGCAGTCCACATGAACACAGCTTCATTCTGTAGTTCTAGTAAACACTGGAATTTAAAAAAAAAAAAAGTAAATTACATCCTAGAACTTCCACTTCCAGAGATATAGTAACAAGATTCAGATTTACTCTCTCTCCTGAAATAACCAAAAAATTAAAACATACGAAATAAGAGTTTTCACGACACTGGACATTAGGCAGTGAAGGAGAGCAATGCTTAGGAGATGGAAAACAAACTTAACACTGTAATTGTCCCAGCTTACGGCCTCGAGAGAGTTTTCAGTACTTAGGAGAAGACATTTAACACTAAACTCCTGTAGTATAAAGAAGAAAGGTCTCAAATCAATAACCTCAGCTTCAACCTTAAGAAACTCATGACATAGAGCAAATTTAGCACAAAGTAAGCAGGGGAGAAAAGAGAATAATAAAGATAACAGAACTGAAATAGAAAACTGAAAAAGAATAGAAATAAAACCCAAAGCTGCTTCTTTGAGATGACCAATAAATTTGATAAATCTCTAGCCAGACAGATAAAGAAAAGACAAAAGACACCAATTACCAAAATTAGGAATGAGAGCGGTCACATAACTACAGATTGACTATATATTAAAAGAACAAAGAGAACATCATAAACAACTTTATGCCAATAAATTTGACAACTTAATTGAAATAGACAACTCACTAAAGAAAAAAGATAACCTAAATAGCCCAGTATTGATTTTTAAAATTGAATTTGTAGGAGCACCTGGGTGGCTCAGTCGGTTAAGCCTCTGACTCTTGGTTTCGCCTCAGGTCATGATCCTGGGGAGGAGGGGCGTTGTGGGATGAAGCCCTGTGACCAGTTCCTCGCTTGGCAGGGAGTCTACGTGAGATTCTCTCCCTCTGCCCCTCCCCCATGTACTCACTCACACACGCACACTCTCTCTCAAATAAATCATCTTAAAACTGAATTTGTGTACAAGTAAAACTGGGGAAAACTAAACAAGATCAATGGACTATGTCAATGTCAACACTAATATACTAGTTGTAATACTGTATTATACTTTGCAAGATATTACCATTGGAAGGAACTGGGTAATAAAGACATCTCTATATTATTTCTTATAATTGCATGTAAATCTACCATTAAATTAAAATAAGAAGTCTACCTAGAAAAAGCAACAACAAAAACAACATAAGAAATCAAATATAAAACAAAAGGCACTTGACAAAATCCAACATCCATTCCTGATAAAACCTCTTAGCAAGCTAGGAATATAAGGGCGCTTCCTCAACTTGCTAAAAGTCATCAAGAAAAACCAACACTAAATGGGAAAAAACTGAATGTTTTCTCTATAAGGATCTGGAATAAGACAAGGATGTTTGCTCTCATGTTTTTTTTTTTTTAAGATTTTTTTTTACAATAGCACCAAAAACCGTAAGATACCTCGGAATAAACCTAACCAAAGAGGTAAAGGATCTATACTCTAGGAACTACAGAACACTCATGAA